TGAATATGATGGGGTGTCACTCATGATTAGGTCACTAAATCAGTTTACTTTGAGTTAGTCAAATAAAGATTATACAGGTAGACCTGACCTAACCAGATGAGCCCTTAGGGATTGGGCCCTTCCTGAAGTCAGAGAGATACAAAATGTGAGATAAAATGTCCTGCTAGACTTGAAGAAGCAAACTGCTATGGTATGGAGAGAGCAACATGGTGGGAACCTGCAGGCTGCTTCTGAGAACTGAGAACAGCCCCAAGTTCATAACTGGCAAACAAACAAACAAAAACCAAGAAAACTCAGTTCTACAGCCCAAGGAACCAAATTCCCTCAACAATCAGGGAGCTTGGAAGACAACTCCAACCCTCAGATGAGAATGTAGCCCATGTTACCATCTTGATTTGTATCCTCATGAAACCCTGAGCAGAGAACCCAGCCCTACCGTGCTGGACCTCTGACCTACAGAACTAGGAGATAAGAAATGAGTATTGCTTTAAATGGTTAAGTTTGTGGTAGTTTGTTCCATAGCAATAGAAAACCGATATATTGATCAAGGGGCTTTCTTAGGTTCATCTGAACCTTCAGACTCACCAGACTATCAAAGACCACCCATGACACCAGTCTGTTTAGAGAGGGAACAGGAATCATGGCTTGCCAGCAGGGCAGCCCCAAGGATTCCTCTTCCCACAGGAGTGCTTTTAGATGTACGTATAATTCTGTAAGTTCATATGCAATTACCTAATCAGGAGCCATTTTTATTATAAGCCACGCTACCTAATAACTTAGATGACATTTCAGCTTTTACCCACAGAGGTATAGTAGCTAATCAAGCTATGATACTCCTCCATACCCAGAATAATATAATTAGTTATTAATTATATGATATTAATTATATAATTATTAATCAATTTAAAAATACTTGACTGCTATGCTTCCTTTCTTTGGATGTTAAAAAAATTAAATGCATGTGTGAGTTCTGTTTGTATGATACGTGGTTCAGATAATAACACAGATTTGCAGAATGCTCATCCGTACTGTTTAAGCACGTAACAAATGTTCATGGTACCATGCAGTCGCAGAGACCAATCACCATTGCAATAATGAGACAGGCTCTGAAGTGTATCACGGTGGCACATGGTTTTCAACAATTTTGGCTTTCGACTTTGTGT